GAGGCATCAGCATTTAATGCAGTATTTCTCAGAGCATGACCAAAGTTTACCTGTATTCCCTGGGCTAATTGTTAAAAAACACAGGTTCCTGGGAGTCACTTAAAACTAATGAATGAAAATCTCTTGGGTAGGATCAGGTAATACGCATTATAAAATCATTGCCTCAGATGACTCTAATGACTTAAAATTTGAGAGCCATTGATAAAGGGGGAAGGCAGAAGAAGAGGAGTCTGCGAAGGAATTCCCAGAGTTAGGAGGAATCTTGGGAGAGAGCTATTGTGAAAGTAAAAAGCTTTTCAAGATAGAGGTAGCTGACAATGTTAGAACTTGTGATTCAAGACAGTGGTCTGTGAGAGGGTTAAGTAAAAGAAAAAGTGAAAGCTGCCCATTGGATTTAAGAGGTAGAGGTTAATGTTGACCTGTCAAGAGTTAAACAGGCAAGAAAAGAAAGTAAGAGACTGACATGGGGAACCATCGCTTTTTGTTGTGGTTACGAATTGGGCTGCGAACTGCAAGATCAGCAGTTCGAAACTACCAGCTGTTCTGCAGGATAAAGGTGAGGCTTTCTGCTCCCATAAAGATTTACAGCCTCGGAAACCCTGTACAGGGTCGCTATGAGTTGGAACCGACTCCAGGCACATAACCACCACCACCATATTTTAAACAAACTTTGAAAATTGCAATCAAGAAAACATAAACATGTACACACACACAATTTAAAGAATATTTATGCAACAAATACCCATTTGTCACCACCTAGGTTAGAATTTAGAAAATGTCCCCAAACCCATTGCTGTCTGAAGCTGACTGCCATTGTTTTTCTGACCTTTTGGTTAGCAGCTGAATATTAACCATTGCACCACCAGGACGTCTCTAGAATATCCCACATACAATTTCTCTCCCATGAGAATATCTGATGTCCCTGGGAGATAACTATTGACCCAACTGATAGGATTAGTGTTCCCTTAGTGGTGCTGTAGGATAAGCACTGGACCATAGGATCAGTTTGAACCGCAAGGTCGGCAGCTCAGATTCACCAGCCGCTCCTCAGAAACCTCATACAGGGTTGCTATGAGTCAAAACTGACTTGACGGCACTTAAGTGTAATCCATAAGCAATAAAGTTAATTTTTTACCCATTTTGAAGTTGATGTAAATGGAATCATACTATAAGTATTTCTATCTTGTTTCCTTCTTGTTGTTAAATGCCGTAGAGTCAGTTCTGATGTATAACAACCCTGTGTAGGGCTTCCAATGCTGTAAATGTTTACAGGGGCAGAAAGCTTCAACTTTCTCCTGTGGAGTAACTGATGGGCTTGAGCTTCCAGTCTTATGATTAGCGCTCCAGTACTTACCCTGGAGCACCACCATGCTTGTTTCACTAGTTGAATATGTTTTTGAGATCCTTCCAGTTGCCTATAAACCAATAAACCAAACCCACTGCCATCCTATGATGGTACCCTCTAATTCATTCATTGTCATAGATTTCTGATTTCTGATTATGCCTCAATGTGTCCATTCTAGGGAAGAAAATGGTATTTTTCTAGAAATTTGTCAATTTCATCTAAGCTTTCAAATTTGTTGGCATAAAGTTTGTAACATTCTCATCTTAGACTCTGTAGTGATGCACCTTTTTTATTCCTTATATGGTTGTTTGTCCTTTTTTCTAGATTTTCTTTTCCCTTTCCTTAGTCTCCTCAGTGGCTTCTCCGTTTTGGTAGTCTGCATTTAAAAGAATGTGTATTATTCAGTTACTAGTTTTTAATAACAAGTTATTCTTGAAAGTTTCTATATCCTCACAGATTGTCCGTTTGTCCTATGAATTTATGAAATCTGTGATTGC